ATACACATAATATTCACATGTCAATGCAATAAAACTGGAAATTTATGAACACTAGACAGTTGTGTAGTATGGAAATCGGTGCGACATAACTAAATAAGTGTACTGATAGCAACACTGAGTCTACAACAGTACTCTTATGCTGCATATTAAGGGAAGGTAAAGCAATGAGAAGCCAGCTAGAGATGATAGAGCGACTTAGCCGCGGGCTGAGTGAATGATGTGGTGTACAAGTGTGACGGAGAGTAGAGTAGCGCCATTGGAAGAGGCTGGATAGAGATGGGAGAGCAATTTAACCACAGAGTTGGGAGTACTATGATGTGTAAGTGTGACGAAGAATACATAGTGCCCGGAGAATAGGTTAGCACATGAGAAGACACATGTGAGCTTGTGACATTACAAGTTTAACTGGCATGATGAGAGCTACAATAAGTGGTTTTGAAGTTAAGATTGGTTGGAATGACTGATATGAAGTAGCGTTGCTTAGATCACTGATAGAAGACTATTGCACAGTAATGAAGTGATCTACAGCAATCAGTGCGACTATAACAAAGTTGCAATGACAATATTATGGAATGATCATACATACACAAGTACACTGATACAATAAGGAACCAAGTAATTTACAGAAGTGCTAGCGATCGTGATGAACCGTCGGAAGGAGAATGGCTGTGCGAAGAGGTGTGACAAGATCCAAGCAAGAAGTGAAATGGTAAATTCTGCATAGATGCTGCTTGGGTTGAATTACGAGTAAATTGTCCTGGATACCCGTGCTGCTTCCTGACGGCCACCACCTGTCCAATTATACGAACCTTGTCCTTTATTTGCCGAATCTGCCATTTCATGAAGGCTACGGACCGTTTGTCGTTGTATACACCGTTGGTCCACAGTGGCTTCATGATGCAGACGACTCAACTCGCCCAGTGAAACTACACAATCTCTTGCGAGATCCACCGCGGGCTCAGTAGTTTCGCTAACGGTCATGTGTGTCGTTTCAGGTGCACTTGGCCCCTAGTGGTTCAGTAGTGGTTCAGCGGTAGAACGCTAGCCTGCCACGCAAGCGATCATGGTTCGAATCCCGGCCAATGCACCAATGTATCGGTTCGCCTAGTGGAATACAGAATAGTAATTTCCAAAATCGACTTTCTATTAACCTCGGCATTAATTGATAATCCGTTGTCTCTTCAATAAACAGACGCGAGGTTGGAATTATGGAATTTATTAGAATATAGTAGCTGACGTCTTGGAGGTTTCGCCTTCCTCAGAGCCGTTTATTCGTTGTATTTCAAATAGTTGCTGGAGAGCAGCAGCACAGAGCAATCAATACATGGGCGAGGACTATATTGGAATCATCAGAAGGCGAATGGTAGGGTTAAGGGGCGTGACTTGATCCAAGCGAATGGCGTGGGTCGCAGCGTCGCGGCACGGGTCGCAAGGTCTGACCGATAAACAATGAGTCGTGACCGGCAGCATGCCTGGCGGAGTTGGGATGTGGATATGGGGCACGGGCGCAGGTGTTGTGGCAAATATTTTACGACACAGTAGGTTGCGTGCATTGCAAGAAATGTTCTCTATCGGCTTATAAAACATATCTGTTAGGTGGATAGAGTATTCCCTACCTGATGGAGAAATTCTCTATGCTGCTGAGGTCTTTCAAAAACCATTCGTGTGCGAAAACAGTTACATTTTTCAGCAGGAATAATTTGTCCTACAATGAAATTTACTAGTTCAAATAAAAACTGTCAGGATGTAGATATTTTTGTCAACAAGGTGCAATTTTTCTTAGACGATGACGGAAAGTTGGGTTTTTTGAAAATTTGAACTCAGATGAACAAACTCGTAAACATAAACAAATGAAAGTGACACGTCGGAAATACAACCACCCTTCCCTAAAGCGACAGAGCTTCCTTAAAATCAGCAGTGGTCATGTATGTGTGAATATTATTAGTAGTCACAATGATGCTGGAATATCTGCAAACCTCTAGACCACTGGTGTCTGCGGTGGGGATCGAACACGGTAATACCTTTTTCGGGAGCTAACGTGTTCACCACAACACCATGCGGGTCCTTCGTTTCGCCTGCCCCTCGGCTAGTTCTATTGATCTTCTGCCATCAGCAATCACCCGTCAACGGGATTGACACCTGGAGTTTTGCAAATATCTCAGCATTATAATAGTTACAGTTCGCAAAATACCCTGCCGTTAAAATGAATAGGTAGCAAATGAAAATGTTAAGATTACTAGTAATATTAGAAATATTATTTGTAGTAAAAAGCGAAAAAGAATAGCGTATTGGGAGCTGATGCATTCGTCTTCATGAAGCATTGTTAAAGCAGAATGAATGCATATCTGGCTTGTGCTAGTTTACATGCGGTGGCCTATCTAAGGGCGATGCGTGTAGCACAATGGTTCGAAGAGCCCTAAAATACACATGGGATCCATTTCACGCCCCATCCCCACCAATCCCTACTCCCTCCGGGCTCGAGAAGTCGGTACCTGGCTTGTTTGGGAGGATAGTAGAACTGACTTGGTACATCGGTAGATCATCACGATTCATTGTACAGGCCAGATATGCATTCAATCACCTCCAACGATACTTAATGAAGTCGAATGCATGACGCATCCCTCAGGGATTAATCAACGTCGAGAGCTTTATCCTTTTTTTCCATACATCTTTGGTTGTCCATGGCATATGAAGTTTAACATAATAAAAAAAAGCTGGGCTAAATGACGTTTCCGATCCAGCAAATGAAGTAGCAAAAGCGAATGCTGTAAGTTCTCGACTTTTCTCCTTTGATTTCAGTTCCAAACCAGGTTCGATCCAAACGTTTTGCTTCCTTCGAAATCGGTTAACTTTCAACGTTCGCAAATTATTCTTAACAGAGCCACCACAATAACGAGAACCAGGGAAGGAATGAGAAATTTCGAGCGAAATTAAACACTTTTTCTAATGTGTTTCAGGACCAGGTTCATCGCGTATTTTTCGGACTTTGTTCAACACTTTTAAAGGATTTGTTACAAATTGCATCAGTCTATGCCGGTTTCTTCTGTAGCGTGCTCTACTACAGTGGCTCCACTACGTCAAGTTCTTCGTTGCCACGAGTTTTTTCTTTGTCCAGGAGAGGTTTATGGCATCCGTCTATGTTAACAGTCTGCACTACAACGGATAGCTATGAACAACCTAGCGAACAGTGTCTAAGGCTGCCAATTAGGCTTTTCAAAAGTCTCGTATCCATCACAGAGTCATTTCGTGCAGTCAACAATAAATAACATCCATGTGGTCACTTGAAAGAAGAGTTGCTCTACCGTCGCCTTATTCACCATTTTCTTGGTATTTCCCTCATACTGTAGTTCGATGCCACGTGAATGTGGAAGTGTTTGGAGAAGCTGCAGCCAGCCACCCAAACTTGTCCTAATCAATTATTTGCTAACAAGTCTCGCAACAAGTGTTCGTGAAAATTTTTGAATTTTGTGACAAAGTGGTGCGCATGTAGTGAAAAGACTTGGAGAAAAGTGAAAGAGTCTTGCAGGACGATCGCTGTCACATCTGCAAATTAGACCAGCACTAAATCATAAAACTGTACAGCGTCGACCATTCGAGATCAAATGTTAATTAACAATGGCTCGTGTGGCGCAGTGGTTGGAGGCGCCACTTTAACACACATGGGATCGATCCCTGCGCCCAAGGCTCACTAAGCCCTCCATCCCTCCGGGGCTGGCACGTTGGTGCCAGAGCTGTTTGGGAGGATAGCACCACTGGCTCGATACATCGGTAGACCACCACGAGTCATTGGAAAGACCAGATATGCATTCAATCACCTCCAATGATAATTAATGAAGTTGGATGCATGGTGCATCCCTCAGGAATTGATTAGCGCCGAAAGCTCTATCCTTTATTCTTTGTGAGAATTAACAGCAAGAGTATTAACATTTTTATAACTTCAAGAAATGAGAAACCGTTTAGAACATTGCCAACCATGTAACAGTTTAGCACACATCTTCCATGAACAATAATTATACATGTTTGCACGAAGAAGGGCACTTTGAACAATACAGATAGGCATATAACGATGATCCCTTTTACCGTCGTTACAATGATAAAATTATGCTATCTCAAACGGTGAAGGAGTTCTAGTATAAACAGAGAAAAGAGCCATTTGAGCTGTAAGAGAAAAAAGGTTCTATGGCATTAGAACTTCGTTACATATGTAAAGAAACCTTTTGCAACCGGTTTCGTATCGAAAAAATCCATGGCTCACTGCTTCGAATACTTAACTCCAATAACCCTATCCAACGCTGCGACATAAAACGATAAGCAAATTTTGAGGTTGTAGGTTATCAAGAAAGATCAGTTATAGTTGTTTGTTACGAGTATGAAACAATTTGGTCTCAACCAGAAAACGACTACCATAGTGCTAACAGAATTCGTAAATCCACCACTTTCGTATAACAGTTCAACAGCACGAGTGGCCATGATCAATCATGCTGCATTGAAATCTATAGAAATAAACAACCCGGGAAGCCTCTAAAAGTTCAACGATTCATGGGAAGAGGCTCGAGACCCGTAGGAGGAGTAAACTTCCGTAGTACGTCCACCCAATAAGAAGGAACGTCGTTACACATATCTAGATCTACCGTAGCTCGTTTCGTGTAGGGAACGACTAGTCAACGATCGATTACTTTGGAAAGATACAGTACCACGCAGCTGCAAGCGATCAGATAACTGTTTGGATTAACGAAATGCTTGCATTGGTGAATATCGCTAACACTCAGCAATACACCAGTGTAACTGAGCTCAACGAGTGGTACCATCGTGTCCCGACAGGAAAACGATTACAGTAGTATTTATCAAGTTCGTAAATCCTCCACGTATATTGGTAAAACTCTAAGAGGCACAATGTATTTGATGACACTTGTCAAAGCAACAGCTGATGATGTGAGGGTTAGCAACTTAAGCGATTAAGCGAACGATAAATTACGCCGGGCTTTCAGAGTCCTTTAGTCCTAAGGAGCGAGAACCGTTTCTATCCGTCTTCGATACGGATGCGATGGGCTCTGCTCGTCACTGGCCTCGCTCCTCTTTCTGGATCGCATGAAATCCGAAAGGGCGCCGATCTCACGCGAAATGTCGCTCAGTTGGTGCTCAATGGCAGTGATCCTCAGCGAAAGGCCTTCCTGTGTCGAGTGGACGTCCTGGATCAGATCGTATGTGTTCGACGAGGTCTGAAATTATGAAAGCATTGAGGATAGTGATCAAAATAAATCAGTAACCCATGTCTTTAGAGTTTGAATAATGGAAGGAAGACTTGCACTAGTAAGAAGATTTAGGATGTTCTCCTTGAAGGACTCATAACTCTGCTACCGTCTCTCACGTGCCAATCAAGAACGGAAATAATACTTATTTTCAATTACAGTTACTCATTCAGGTTTCCTTAAGGCCACCCAATAAGTATGCAAGATGTTTCCAAAATATTGCGAAATAAGTCCCTTTTGTAAAGAATGCGCAACCACTTGTTATATTTTTATATTTTTCAAAAAATATGAATTCGACGGAATGAGACCTCCTTAGCTATTTCATTGGATTTTGATTCAATATTCTTTGCTTTCAACAAAAAGTGCTTCTGTTCACTAAAAACAGGTAGAAGTCGGGTCCGAACTGATCTGCTTCATAAATTAAAGCTTATCAATGCAGGGATTGAATTCGTGAACGTTTCAGAGTTTTGTCCAAGGATGAGTATAAAGTAGTTTCAAGAAGAAGAGATACATTAGATGACCACTCACATCGGGTAGTTATGTCTTGGAAAAATGAGCAAAGGGGATTCCCAGCAAGATTCCGTAGAGACAAGTTGAGTGTTTATAGCGTTATCTCTCTCCAAACGTTTTCAGATAAAAGCTAAGAAAGCTCTCGGCGTTGATCAATGTCTGAGGGATCCGCCATGCATTCAACTTCATTAAGTATCGCTGGAGGTAATTGAATGCATATCCGGCCTTTACAATGACTGGTACCAATTTGCCGACCCCACAAGGATGGAAGGCTTGGTGGGTCATGGGCGCGGGAACCGATTCCACGTGTAAGGAGGAAATTACGACATTTGATATGTTGAGCATTTTATAATCTCACAGATCGGACAGATAAGGCGACAATTAAGCACTGCTGATATTTTTGGCACGGGAAACGCCATCTTTTTAATCGAATTGTAGCGAACGCGAACAGAACAGTATAGGGAAAGATGCTGCTGATAGTTCTGGGCTGATAATTCATCAGAGGTTTTTAAGGCGAAGGATGAATAGAAGAATAAAAGCGCAAATCATGGGCTATGATAAGACGAATTTCTTTCGCTTCCTTTCAGCTTGGTGATACTCATAAGAATGGAATCATACTCTAGCCAAATGGTAGAAATGCTTGCACAATGTAGGAAAATGAGAGCCAGTAAGTATTCACGACAGTAAGCCCTCAAACGTTTTGCTAGTCGCTCTTCAGAACTAGGATGAACTACGGTAAACATGACACTATCTTACTCTCCACGCCCTATATACAATCCCTAATTTCCTTTAATTTTCTGAAACACCATTTTTTCGATGACGAATTGTTCAAGATCAGTATTTATCGAAAAATAGTCTTATTAAGAATTAGAACAAAGCACAAAGTTTATTTTCCTTTCGATTCTGCTTGCTACGTTGTCTGGAGGACCCGTTGAGCTGCAGAACTTGACGTCGTTAGGGAGGAATCCAAGACACGGAAAAGCAGACTTTACTTCGATCTACAAAGGCCAGCTGGTCCTCATGGTGACTTTTTCTATGGGGTGCTAAACCGGTGGCACCGCTGACTTCCAACGGAACTCATGTTGAACCAAAATTCGTTATGTCAATGGCGAGAGAAGAAACCGCAGTATCTAGCAGTATTCTAAGCCATGCTCGAGGGCAGCTATTTTAACAGATAATGATTTTAGATTGAAACGAATGAAACCGGCAAGTCATTGTGACGACGGGCCATGTAAGTTATCTGTGCGAATAGTCTAAGCATTTTCAATCTGCCCTTTTCCCACTTTCTTGAACCTACACAACATTTGACTGAAATCATTTTATACTGAACTTTACGAAAATATGGTCGATCTGTTGGGCAGATGAACACATGAGCGAAGCCACGAAGTATATGAACAGCATAAATGAAGAAGTTAAGAAATATTGGATGTTGAAACGCTTACTTTTGCAATATCTCCCAACGATACGAAATTCTCCGCCAATTTCCGCTGATCTCTCTTCACTTTACGCATTCTTAAAAGAAAAACTCGACTTTTGAAATCATACAAAAACCAAATAGATTGAGAGAAACATATCGTTATTACCAACTAATGCTAATTTCCAGCGTGACGACGCTGGTAATGGTAAACGATGAAGGATAAAGCTCTCGCTGTTGACCAATCCCTGAGGGATGCGCCATGCATTTGACTTCATTAGGTATCGTTGGAGGTGATTGAATTCATATCTGGCCTTTACAATGACTCGCGGTGGCATACCGATGTATCCAGCCAGTGCTGCTATCCTTCCAGACAAGTGTGGCACTAATATGTCGATCCCGGAGGGATGGAAGATTTGGTGGGCCATCGGCGCAGGATCCATTCCATGTTTGCACTGCAGGGCGCCTCCGACCACTGCACCACACGTGCCGCTGGTAATGGTAAAGAGTAACTTCATCTGAGTTATTTTGTACCCGAAGCACGCCTTATTCCAATTAAGTTGATTAACGAGCACCTCTATAGCAAACACTCCAATTCACATTGCTAATTACTAAGCTTCTTTATGAATTCGCTTAGAAACTACTGTATAGACGTACTCATAGATAGCGACGAGGAACTTCCGTTGATGTTGACGAATCCGAGCATAATCGATCTTTTCAACTTTCTTTCTGAATTTATATATCAGCCACGTCTCTCTCAGCACGTTTGCTGCCGAATGTTTCAACTGAAACGATTAAGATCTACAATGCAGATTAGTTCACTTTTCTCAAATGATCGTTTATATTCACTATGAAATTAGATGTCGTTAAATGAAACAAGCATATCGGATATTTCCTGTAGAGTTCTTTTGTTCAGTCGGCTCGAAAACAACGTTGCTTGAAACACCTATATCGATTTCTTCCGTAGAATAATCAATATATCGCTTCCGTCGCCCTTTACGACGCTTTTAGTGTGGCCTCTTAGTGCGCGTTGTTCACTCGTATGAGGATTCTCGTTCTCATTTCTTTTACCACTTATTTTCACATTCAGAATCCTCCACAAACATTAAAGTAACACAGTCAATCATATTTTGTTTTCTTCCCCACCTTTTTCGTTAACTGGTTGTCCATCATGAAATTATGAACGTGTTTTTCTGCTCTGGTCAACTCGAGCTTCCTCGCCACCACCGCTACGACCATCGAAGAGGCACAAGTGCCCTGTAAATTTCATATGATACCTTTTCACACAGGTACTGCAGGTGATTTTCGTAACTCAGTGAACACCACTTTAGCTGTTGGCCTGATTATTTATGCAAAATCTCCTTACAGAGGAGCTATTAAATTTCAAGAAATAACAACGCAATTCACAAGATGTCTCCTAACGCTGTGCCGCCTCATCGTAGCCAGGAGGCGTTCCTAGGTATCGGGCTGCGATGTACAACGGGGATCATCGCCCAGGTAGGGTCTCCCAAAGTTAGAAGAAATCCGGCGTTTCCATTAGGAAGCCCAGCTAAGAGTAAATCATTGCCAGGACCCAGTAGCGTCCTGGTATCAAACTGGCAGCATGGTAGCAAATCTCTCTGTGATCCACAAGAGCGGCCAGCGCCTGTGGTGGTGACGACCTGGAACAAACTTTGGTCTGGCTGACCTCGGAGCTCCAGCGAAACACGATGGCTAAACCAGAAAAACTCAGAAAAATGGCGATTATGCTGGCGCCCGCACAACTAGTGAAGAAGGGCCGTCCGAATATCCAAGCAAGTAGTATTTATAATAGCGGGATTCAATAGATCATCATTTGAAGAAAAATGATAACCAGTAACTAATTATCGTCTACAAGCCAAACGGAGTAGCATTATCCAGCGCTTCGAAGTCGGATTCTTCATGGTACATTTTTTTACGAAAGGGATAAAGTAAAGTCACGATGACTAAACCTCTGTGTACATTTGCTCAACACGATTGTTCTTCAAGCGCTCCATAATGTACCTCAGACGTTGGGTGACATTTCAGCACTATGAAAAATTTTTGCTCAACATCAATAGATGACTGAAACGAAGGTAATGACGGAATCGTATGATATTAATACTGGAAAACACAATCTGAGCACGAACATGTCTTAATGCTCGACAAACATCAGATTTTGTTTGCACCTCAGAAGACAAATCTAAAATGAATAATGAATAACGGTTCAATCAATTATGTGGAAAAAAGAATGGGCGCCAGAGTACTCCAGAACAGTTCTGGAACTGAAAGTAATGCTTTAGACTCCACTAAGCGCAAGGCGAATTACTTCCATGAACGCTAGTTGCAAATGAGCAACGTGGACTCGACTATGAAAATCGACTAAAAGGTGGTTGGCAGTGAACTTAACAGCCATCACACTTATGCCACCTATTCAGAGCCGTATCTTCGAGAACATTCGTACCATTCGATTTCGGGCTTCCCTTTTCGTTCTATAGAAGGAAGAGAAACTTTATTAAAAGCTGGCGCATTGGTCAGAAATTTTTCGTCCGGACAATTTCAATGGAATGAAGTTGCTAGATTAAAGAAACGTTCAACTTATTGTAAGTTAAACGCTGCTCAATTAACATCGTTTGCAGAAACACTTACCAATATTCCTGTTATCACAGCCATGGTACGTCCACAGTTTGTTTGGGGTACGATGTCACCTGGATAGAGACAGACTGAGAGGCTTGAAACAAACGCTATCGAAAATACGATCAAAAGCCAATGTTACTAAAATATTATACTTGGTATTCTTTCATATGAGCCGCATGTTGCAGAGCCCCAACATTAGATCTACTGGCGACGTTGTCTTGCATCCGTCATCGCGATGGCGCTAGGATTTTTTCTTCCACTCGATTGCAGTGGGGCGTGTGTGGCGCAGTGGTTGGAGGCACCACTGCGACACACACGTGGAATCGATTCCCACGCCCGTGGCCCACCAAGCCTTCCATCCCTCCGAGGTCGGTAAGTTGGTACCGGACTTGTCTAGGAGGATAGTAGTATTGGCTCCATAGATCGGTAAGCCACCGCGAGTCAATGTAAAGGCCAGATATGCATTCAATCCCTTCAACGATACTTATTGAAGTCCAATGCATGGCGCATCCCTCAGAGACTGATCAACGCCGAAAGCTTTATCCTTTTTTATCCGGTCGTAGTTAGCTAATTTTGTCTTCTCATGAATGCCGTCATACGTTTGTCCAGTGGACTCTCCCAAGAATGCCGAGATTGTTGTGTTAAAGCGTTCCCAATTCATCATCACAACCAGTCATTCGTTTTCGTGAATTGGAAACAACTTTCCCAAAAAAAAGCGTGGCACGGTTTTGCCGACAGTGAAAGGATGTGGATATGGGGTTGGTTGGTCCAGCCCATTGTCGAACAAGTGGCCGCATTTCCATCTCACAGTGCTTCAAACACTGCACCACATGCATTCATATTTTGTATTGTGTGGTGATAAAGAGTAAGCAGCAATCAGATAGATCATCCTCTAGACTTTCTTGCTATAATATCTTCCATACTTCGATTACCTATACTTACTGATAGTTAGGTCCACAGCATAGTTTTTGCCCGTTACCCGTGCCCACTGCGACACACACGCGGAATCTATCCCCGCGCCCATGGCCTCCATCCCTCCGGGGTCGGCGAATTGGTACCAGACTTGTCTGGAAGAATACCAACACTAGGTCGATACATCGGTAGGCCACCGCGAGTCATTGCAAAGGCCAGAAATGCATTCAATCACTTCCAACGATACTTAATGAAGTCGAATGCACGGCGCATCCCTCGGCGATTGATCATTGCCGAAGAGCTTTATCCTTTATCCTTTTTGGTCGTGCCCAATTACGTGAATATCAACGTTAGAGAATACTGTTCTAATGTTGTAGATGAACTGCAAAGAGTCATCTCAATGGCATTCCAACGAAATTCCATGAAACCGGAAACTTGTTAGGTGTTTGTTGTTTCACCGCTAGAGCTGTAGATGGGTCTGTCGAGTGAATGAGATGCTAAGAGTTTTTCTTGTTTGAGTAGGTTATCTTTTTCCGTGAGGTTTCGAGAAATCAGCGTTAGTACATTTCCTTGTAGTTAGAGCAGCTACTCGTCGGCACTTAAGGGGAAGTTTGTTTATGTCCCTATGACTAAATTGCCTCCAGAATGGCGATGATTAGAGGTTAACCGACCAGCCCAGCGAAGACCATATAGTAAATAGAATACTTTTACTCTCTATTACAAAAATCAGTTATATTCTTATTTTACTTACCGTAACCGACAGACAGAAATGTGATAGCTACCATCCATATCGAAGAAATATAGTCCATGTCTTTACGGTGACTCATGCTCACTGAATCTCTAAAATATCACTAATTAACTAAAAAATATTTTTGATTTCACCAAGTGAATTGGACGAAGATGTAGGTATGTGTACTGATTAAATTCGCTGAGGGACCATTCATAAAGTGAAAGGATTGATAATTTTAGAGTCAATTTTCTTGGCAAGCCATTACCACTTAGTTTTTCCACAACTGACGAAGAGTGTGGCTGCATAAGGAAAGTAATGGCGCAGGAATCCAAGAAAAACGTATGTAGTGATTACTCTCAAAGTGATGGAGTGACTGTGTTGAAAGTTGTGTCTACCGATAAAGCAGAAAACTTTCACGATCTTCAGCACGCTTGCAACAACTTCAACTTTCGGTGTTTGCGCAGTGAAACCTAATTCTTCAACGATTGCGACCTGTATTGTGCTCAATGCGCATTGTTAAAATTTGTATTTCGATATGTGTGTGTGTTTGTATGTGCGTGTATGTATGTGTGCATGTGTGTGTATGTGTGTGTATATGTGTGTGTGTGTCTGTGTGTGTGTGTCTGTGTCTGTGTCTGTGTCTGCGTATCTCCCTTGGTCCCGTGAAGGGAAATCTATCAAGTGTCTTTCCTATAAACGACACCTTGTTGTGTTACTTTATTGGTACAAAAGCTATGGAATCATTGCAGGACCCATGTACCTATATTTGTGTAGCACAGTTATTTTGCCCTCTTCATTTATGGAGCAGTCCAGGAAGCTAGGATATCTGTGTACTCTTCTCGCCAACCACAGTATTCCCGACAGTACAAAAAAACTTGTCCGAAAATAGTTTTGTCAGGTATAGAAAACAGCTTTTCTCGAATCACCTCCCGGCACAACATTTTTAATGCAGAAGCTATCTAGTGAATACAGAATTGCAGAAATATTCTGAACGGCAAAATAAACCACAGGAAAGGAAGTGCATTGAGACCAATGCGTACCGAGTGTAGATCTGAAGCCGAAGAATCTGATGAAATATGTTGACTTGAGTTTATAACTATTATATTTGTAGATGAGTTTATAACTTAGACATGGCTTTTATGTTAAATAGTTCTTTTGTCCACACCTCTCACAAAGACGGAGAATCCAGCCGGCCATCACCCAGAGAAATGCCGTGAAAATCATCAACATTTTTCCTAAAAATTCTTGAATTCCCGCATGGAATGAGAAATTACGAATAACGGATAGTTCAAAGAGCTCATTGATCTTCAACACACCTGGACACAGCGTCATGAGCGTCTTCAGAATGAATCGAGCGTTAAAATTAACCCGATTCAGACCTGCTATGCTTCTGCTGCTTGCATCGGTAAAAAGTCTGAAAATGTAGCCATATGAAGCTGAGCTGTCGTTTCATTTCAAAGGTAATAAATATATTATCAAATTAGGAGACCTTGAATGAAGCAGCATAACTCGGCAGAGCCAGTACAGACGAAAAAACATGGCGATCGAGACAAACACATTCAAGGAATGAAGTGTCTGAACGAAAACAAATAGACGGGTGTGTTCACGAAGTTTTGGGCTAAATCAGGAAGAATCGGCGTTGGATGAACGAATGATTGATCAGAATTAGGAGGAATAGAACAGCAGAAAACATAAAAACAGTTAAAAGCACAATCAATGCTCATTTTTCGCACTATGGTTTGCCTTTGTGTATAACTTTCCTAGTCTACTAAATGCTCCGCGTTAAATCCTCTAGATGAACCAACTGTGTCAACTTCAGCACAGATTTCTACCTTAACCCTTTTACGACCGCATGTCACTGGAGAGCAAATGAGATGCACGTTGAAATGAAGATGTACGGTCAGCAAGTCCGCGCGTGAGGTACGGCGCATTGGTTTCCTGATATTATCGCTCTATTGTTCGTTTCCTTCACATTTTTCCCATGCCTCCCTAACTTCTACACATCCGCCATGTCCTTCTGTGAGTGTTGTCATGTTCTAGGACATCTCTCATGAGTGATGAAAAGAAAATCCGCTCATTATCTAACTATGTTATTAGCTCGTATGAAATGCTGAGATATTTGCAAAACTCCGGACCACAGGTGTATGCAGTGGGGAACGAACACGCGCTGTTGTCCTTACCGGGGAGCAGCGCGTGTTCGTTCCCCACCGCATACACCTGTGATCCGGAGTTTTGCAAATATCTCAGTATTTCATACGAGTTATATTTCGCAACATACCCTGCCATTAAGAAGAAAACGGCAGTAAATAAAAGGTTTAAGATTATGTCATTAGTCTTCCGCAAGGTTTTGTGTGATAGTTCAAGTGCATTTCTATGGCTATCTGATGTTTTTCATGTCCAATGACTCCTATAAACCGTCAAAAATGAGTTTTTGCAAGTGTAGCCGACAATGTTCCTCTCTATGAACATGAAGCATGAAATTTGTGTTCGAAAAGCCATCGATTGACTGCAAAAGATAGTAAAGGTGTAATGTCGTAAAAAAGTGATATATCTGCGAAAGGGAAGCGTGTAGCGCAGTGGTTGGAGGTGCAACTGCGACACACGCGTGGAGCAGATCTCCGCGCCCATGAGCCACCAAGCCTTCCATCTCTCCTGGGTCGGAAAATTGGTACCAGACAGGTCTAGGAGGATAGCAGCATTGGCTCCATAGATCGGCAAGCTACCGCGAGTCATTGTAAAGGCCAGATAAGCATTCAATCACCTCCAGCGATGCTTAATGAAGTCGAATGCATGGCGCATCCCACAGAGATTGATCGATGCCGAGATCTTTATCCTTTTATCTACGAAGACAGTTAAAGGGAAGCAGTTTTTGTCACTCCTGTGCAAAAAATAAACCATTACAATACAAAAAGTTCAACCCTTTCGCAACCGCGGCCATTTTCGTATGGCCGATCCATCGGACGGCGTATCATTGGAACGTACTTGGGGTGCGCGTTGAAATCGAGATGTACCGTTGTGAAAGGATTAACACTGTTCTAGGACGAAAATTCAAAGGATTTAGTTCATTTTCTTGTTTTTAAACCACATATTATCATTTACAGACGGTCTTCGCAGTAATCACAGGAAGATAAGACGGTAAAAAATTATATTATTTTATATTTTATTTTATACGACCCGTCTATCAAATCTACCATACGGATTCCACTACTCCTCACATTCGATTCGGTTCCTCGCCTCCATCACCCACGAAGGTCTTCCAAATTTCTAGGCGTGGCTTCACCTGCTACTTGAAGATTTCTCTTTCAAATGAACTGCCGCTGAATGCGTGTTGAGTCCATTCTCCCTGGAGTCTTGAGATAGCCAGGCTAGATCGTTCCCATTTGGATTGCAGGAGCGTTTTTTCGCGGATAAGTCTGGCAATTTCCCGACTCCGAATGGATGAGAGGCTTGGAATACCCAGAGCAGCATCAACCCAGCACTGCGCTCGCGGTGATCTGCATCACTACTATTGCGCTATTCGCTCTACGAAAAAAAAATTTAATGTAAACATATACGATAAACCCATGAAATAGTATAAAAGTGAAGAAGTACTTAGTATTAAAACAATAATTTTGAACCCAAATATCCACCTCAATAATTTAAACACATGTTGACACTTAGAAAAAAAAGGATAAAGTTCTCGGCGATGATCAATCCTTGAGGGATGCGCCATGCATTGGACTTTATTAAGCATCGTTTGAAGGTGACTGATTGCATATCTGGGCTTTACAATGACTCGCGGTGGCCTAGCGATGTATCGAGCGAGTGCTGCTGTATTCTCAAAGATGTCTGTTACAAATTTCCCGATCCCGGAGGGAACGAAAGCTTGGTGGGCTAGGGTGGCCTCCGACCACTGCGCCATACGCTCCCTTAGTAGTGACGAAGATTTCTACTTCGTCTTTAGTACAAAAAAACTTGCATCTAGATGCCAGTTTTCTCACCACAAATAGCTAAATTACACTTTTACGGATGAGTTCACATCGACACAGCTTCTTGCGTCAAGCTCATAAGTTGTCAGTGCCACAAATGAGAATAGATTACAACTTTAGGAGCGAATTATTAAATAAATAAAGGTCACTCACCCTTGAAATTACTCTGCCACGACTCCAGTGGCCTATCTCGAAAGGGAGCGGGCATAGTGAACATAAAAATAGCTCACCTCCTGAAAAAAAACTTGGTTCCTTAATTTCCTTGTTGCTTTTTTTGAGTCAAACTTTAGAGAAGTTTCTCCAATCATTTTGCAAAAAAATTTTCTTTTGCTTTCTTCCCAAAAAGTGCAAGGCTCTCAAGCGTTGTTGGCCTAGATAGCTAATTTTCACGTATAAGTCTAACATAGTGTTTTTTTAATCTGCTTGATCAATTTTCATATCGTATGAATTATATATGAATCACATTGTCCAATACGTCAACAAACTGTATAGTAGGAAACACGGTTGCCATCGTTTAACGATTAACGTAAAACAAAGTGAAAAAAATCAAGCAGAAAAGTTGAGTACTTCAAAAACCAACTCACTATCGAATCCTTGCGTAGCCTTGAATGCGACAAGAATTATTTGAAACGAAACTTTACTCTTAAAATCGAAGCAATGGCTGTTATTTATACAAAACGTTTCAATAATTTTCTTAATCTCAGCATTCCAGGACCAAAAACCCCAGCACGGAGTTATTGCTAACTAACCCCAGTACGAGTTGACGCTAACTTACAGATAGCATCGTCTTGCCTAATGCTCGCAATAATTCTGTTTAGTTATAGTTCATACAAAAAAGATCTGGAAACGATCAGCAAAACTACTTATCTACTACTCTACCGTGGTCTCGGAACTTTACAAGCATATTTCTTCAATGCTTTAGAGAGATGGAAATTTCAGTTACATGGCAACTAGGAAGATAATTCTTTATGTCGGTATGTCGATCTTCTGTTTATCAACTGATAACTGCTTTCAATATCTATACTAACCTATCTGAACCATTCTTGGAAGAGTTAAAGCCACCCGCCAATCGTCAGCTGAATTCGCATTCATGAACAACTAAATAGATCGACCATAACATTGAGGTAGTAACTGCCTTGGAGAATAACGAAACGAAACTTCTTACTTGAACTTCAATTATATGGAAATAGGCTACGAAAACGACAAGAACAATCGTTGACCCGACAATGAGTGACTTAAGACACAAACTGGACAGAGAACTCTGAAACGAAACCGGATTAGTGTAGTCTAGTACATCGAAATTTTTTCAGTGGACCCAGGAATCGACTTACTACGGAAACAACACCGGCCGCAGTCAGTTCGTTTTCGAGTATCATTAACACTGAAATGTTTTTAAATATGTTAATGCATGTTTAAAAATACTTTCTTTTTAATGTTAACCTTTATTTGCTGCCTATTACAATTTTCACGGCAGGGTACTATACAAAATACAACCGTAATGATGCTGAGACATTTGCAAGACTCCGGGCCCAACGTGTCTGCGGTGGGGAACGAACCCTTTAATGCTTTTTTGGAGACTTCAGACATCAATCCTGTTGACGGCTGATTTATGATGTTGCTGATCGATAGAAAACTAGCTGAGAGACAAGCGAAACGAAGGACCCACATTGTGTTATGGTGAACGCGTTAGCCCTCGAAAAGGGTAACAGCGCGTTTGTTCCCACCGAAAACACCTGCGGTCCGGAGTTTTGCAAATATCTCAGCATCATTGCTTTGATAAAAGATAAAACTCTCGGCGCTGATCAATTCCTGAGTCATGCGCCATGCATTCGACTTCATTAAGCATCGTTTGGAGGTGATTTTTGAATGCACATCTGGCCTTTACAACGACTCTCGGTGACCTATCAATGTACCGAGCCAGTGACGCTATCCTTGCAGACAAGTCTGGTACCAATTTGCCCAGAGGTATGGAGAGCTTGGTGGGCCAGTGGTGCGGGGATCGATCCCATGTGTGTGTTGCAGGGCACCTCCAAGCACTGCTTCACACGCGGTCCTTACTTTATTCTTTATTTTATTTTTATTTAATACACAGTGTGTCACGTGATGTGCATGCATATTGAAGTTTTCGAACTGGTTATGATAGAAAACAGTTTAGCAGAAAAAAAAGATTTTCCATGGCTAGATTTTAAAAAAATCTATGCGTATTCCTACCTATTCCGAGAATGGCGAAGAAAAGAGCGCGATCGCTCATGTGTCGTTTTTTGTCCTGCAAGATCTCTCTTTTTATCAGGCGCCCACCACTGAAAATGACAGTAATCACGAAATTGTGGGTCAAAGAAATCAATAATTTTGGCTGGAAGCTTTCATTTATTGTTAAATCACAATCCTACGTTTATTTTTCTCTTCTCTTTTTTGACAAAATCTATTTACATGGATGAGTTACGCATAGTTGGCGAAGTTTCTGACTAGGGTCAACATTTAGAGAGCTCTGTGTTTCACGCCAGTCTTCCAATTTATCGATCGACCTTATCGCTACTTTAACAATGTGTAGGTGTGATCTGTTAGGTATCTCGAAATTCCAGTGCTATATGTTAACGTCGGCGTGCATGTAGAGCTGTGACTAATAGTGCCCCTGGAATACGCACACACGGAGTCGTTGGTCCTATCCAACGCCCTAGGCTCACTAAGCCTTCCATCTTTAAAGGATTGGAAAATTGGTACCAGAATTATCTTGGAGGCTTGATACATTGCTACACTACAGCAAGCCATTGCGTAGGCAATATATGCATTCAATCAGCCCTACAATGCATAACGGAGTAGAGGGAATGAAGCATTCCCATGGCATTGATGAATGCGGAACGCTATATCCTTTATTATATTAACGTCATGTCAAAACCTCTGAAACTAGCCTTGTTACGAAGAAAAGAAGGTGGGAATTATTGTGTGAAGATTCGACAGACCATGATATGGTGACGGAGAAATTTTGCCCACCGTACAAAAGGTAGGTATTGATCGGTAGCCACATTATATTATGCTGACATTCATGTATATGGAAAAAATAGCCATTCGATATGATTTCCTATACAAAAATTCGTTTCAGAAGCTACTAGAATTTCGGAGAACGTTTTCTAGGGGTTTCGAAAATTCCGGAAATTTTCTCCGCCTATTTTTAACGTGTGCAACGGCCGTAGTAAATTGTATAATGTCTAATTTCATAGAAAGTTATATATCGGATCAGTCGGATTTAATCGATTCAATTGTTTTTCACTAGGACCACACAAATTAAGATACAAAAATAGTTAAATCAACAGTCAAATGTTGATGAGGCGCACCTGATCATTTCCTGGTTGCCATCCATCAACGGGACTTCGGAGTCATCGTCTATCTTGTGAGCTTCCAAGTCATTGGAGTAGCCGATCGAGATGGATTTCTTTGATGCGGCTTCGCCTGAAACAACAAACTAGTTCTATTTTTCTCACTTCAATAGAAAACAAAATAGCTATGCACCTTTATCGGTACTAATCCAACTCAAACCCTGCGGCCCTAGAATTTTCCTCAAAAGAGCTTGATCTCTGCTAGGGATATGTGCGACGCTTAAGCGACGACTTCTTTCTTGTAGTGGCATAATTCCAAAAGTGGATTCGGAATTTGATCTTTGCTGAAGAAGTGCCAATCTGAACCGGTCGGGCTCTCTTCTGACCCGCAACGCTCTTGCTGGACGTTCAAACATGTGGTAAGAACCGGTCTGAGATACACAACTGGATTTTGCCGATGGTACTGGAGACGGAGGAATGTCGAATGAGAGCTGTTTAGGGACGGTCATCAGTCTCCGCGGTCTAAGGATTCCTTTGGGAGCGAACTCGGAACTTGAATGACCGTGATGGGCTCGGCAGTCAATGTCTGAGACGTCTGAGATGTTTGAGCAGTCCGAAGTCGACATTAAGGTAGCCGTCCGCATATGCCGAACTGTCGCAACCCCTTGTACAATCGGACAGTTCTTCCGGTCAGGAGATACATTGTCCGTATCGCGTTTTGGATTCGAAGAGCTTTCTAGACCTTCATCGACCGACTGTCGTCTGTCGTCACACAACGACTCTTCATTAATGAATGAAAGCCCGCCAGAAGAGTAGGATTTAGCTACCAAAGAATTCATGATGACATCATAAGTGAGCTAGAAAGCACTGGCAGTTAAAAAAAAAGACAAGAAAAAGCAGTCGATTTAAAACTGCAATAGGAATTTCATCATCAGAACGACAAAGAACTGCTAGAAATATGAAAGCCGCACTGTCAAAAATGAAGGATGAAATCCAGAAAAATGCTCCGTGTTCACAAGACATTCAAAGACTTAGAATGTTATTAAACGGCTAACCTAGATTATTTTAAATGCTTCGATTTAGCTACCATAGAATTCATGATGACATCATAAGCACTTCCAACCAACTTGAATGAAAAAGAGCTGGTGAAAGATCGAAAGGCTTTAGGCAGAAGCCTCTAACTAATGCAATGTGAAATTGTCGATGAAGTAAAGAGAATATAGATGATCTCCTGCATTCGAAGGAAAGAGTGTTCGTCAAAATTGACAGAAGCAAGCAATTTATCAGGTGACCCTTCATCAGAAAAAAGCTAGAACTCTCAATCCAGACAGGTGAAGGAATAGCTGTGCTCAATTATAAAACATATCACGGTGGCGGTAACAAAGGATCTCATTATTAACATACATTAAAACCGCACGGCTCTTAGTGACGTAATGGATCTAAGAAGGACATCGGACAACGGAAGGAGTTGAGAACTCCAACTCTTGTTATAGCTTTAGCCACCACAGATTTCTTCAGCGAGCTGTTTAAATGTTATGGATTTGAAAGAGAATTGGAATTCCTTTGTAAGTGTGGGCATGTTTCCGTCATCTATTACTGATATGAATCTGGTAGCTCAGCATTTTTGCCGCCTTCACGGCACAGAACGCATGAAGGGCAGAGATGAGCAAGAAAACTCACATCGGTAACTTCATTTCATCGAGTTCAGCACGATGTGGTTTGAAAGAAGACCATGTCTCTGACGGAACGCACTTGAAGGGAACAAAATGGGAGGGAAGGATTGCGCATGCACGTCAATGCGCACTACTGCGGAAGACTATTCACGACGGAATCGCAGTGGGCATGTTTGTCGGTGAGAGTAATCGAAAATGTCTGGATTTCATTAATGTTTGAAATTGCTTTAGAATTTTCAACCAACCAAAATATTCCTTTAAGTAACTGCCACGACCGACTTTCTATTAACCTCGGCATTGATCAAGTGATTTTGTTCGTATTTTTTTGAGCAAATTTCGATTGATTGATTTTTGATTTCTGTGCGGTTGGTCTCTACGTGACATACTTAGTGGAGACCTCATAGAAAGCGGTGAGTGTGCAAAGCTGTGTTCAAAGTGATTGAAATCTTGGTTTGGGGTTTCTTTGTTTGGTTATGGAGGCGTCTGGCCGAGTGAGTTGCTATCAACTTGACCTTTCCAGGCTCTGAAGAAGGCGAAATTCGCCGAAACGTCAGCTTAATCGTGAACAAAGAACAATAACACCTCGCGTTTGCTCAAAAAAATACGAACAAAATTCCTTTAAGTTCGACGTATTTCTTTGCAGCGAATCTATATATGCGCAAAACATGTCACTCAAAAACGTGCCCTATGTTCGAAAAACGAATGCATTTCGAATGGATCTATTCGAAAAAATGCATTCGAATATGGCGCCCATACACCTACGAATACAATTCTTAGGAACGTTTTTCGAAAATCGAATAAATGAAACGAATGGGTCATTGGTATTTTCGAAAGGCCCATTTTGCTGATCACCATGAACATTTGAGCCGTTAACGACATGATGAAATTCTCTGGATGCCTCCAGCTAATTGATTCGCGTTGCTACTATCGACATGGACTACGGTAAGTGGGTTTTCCATTCTCTAGACGATAGAAATATAATTAGGATGTTGGTATGTCGGAAATGGCACGTTGAGAGCTCATGTGAGCCGTTCAATGCCAGAAACAACAATATTTCTACTTCGATGTTGCAAAAGCCGAGGAAGAGCCCCTCGCGGACTGAGAAATTGCCTCGGGCTACGTCGATCCCTCGTTGTCGGATTTGCATGCACCCATGCTGTCCATCACGCTTTCGTTTTCACATTGAGTGTTTCAAAGAGAAGACTATTAAAATTCTACAGCGAAAAGTACAACCGTCATTAATGAGCTTCTTGTCCACGAAACATTTCGAAAAGCGAACTTGTAGGTCCACTCAACGGCATCCTGGACACAGATGACCATGCTCTTATGACTATTATATGTTACACTTCGGGATGTAAACATAGTCCAAACATTTCCGAATGCATTGACACCAAACATCTCTAAGGGTTGTATCCATTATTACTAAATACTGCACTAAAAGGTCTTTCCTTTGACTGTTTCAATAATATTCCATTAATATTAAAGTCACTTCTAAGGAATAGGCTTCCCAATCATACTTTGTCCTATTCGTAAGCTCAGACGAGGTTGCTACAAAATTTTCGTCCGGCTAATGTTTCGGAGCTTCAGTCTTCTTCAGAACTTCGTACTCGTATATCTCATATATTCGAAGTACGGATTCGAGTGCTGAACCAACCTAGAAGATTCGAATCGATGCGCCTACGAAGACTCACGTTAAAATGATGAACGGCTGTGAACAATGGACTCGAATCATTCCCGTTCTGAAGAAGGTAAAAGCGCCGAAACGTTAGCCGAATAAAAATTTTGTAAAACCTTATGTAAGCTCATAAGTGGATCAGAATATTGTTGATTTTCAAGCCGAGCATAAATGGAACTCAGCTTTGAAAATTAGTGCTTCCAACGGTTTAGCGCGTTATCGAGGTAGTGGGGTCCTAGGTGCCATATTGCGACTTAGAGCGGAATCATCTTCATCGCTCAGAAGGCATCAGAATTTACATCCGAAAACTCAACTAAGGGATGACTAAGAGAAAACGGGCAACAGTGTCTATGTTCTCGCCAAAGTAGAAAGAAAGGGTACGAGAAAAAAATGGTGTTCTTGGTGATGACGAAGCGCAAGGGCGAAGCGCATTGAGAAGTAGCGATGCTCGAGTGGAACTAATGAAGACATTACTGATACCGCTCGAGTTATTCGATGATTAACTGAGTTACAGGTGATGGCAGTGATAGTAAACATTGTTGTAAGACATCACGTGTTAATTTAATATCAACGTTTGCTGCGTCTTTGCTAACAGCATTATGTGAAGGAAAAAACAAGAAAATTACGGAACTAATAAGGACACTGTGACTTTACAAGGCTTTCCTTACTAATATTTCGTTGGATCTTTAACCCTACTCATTACAGTTCCATTCGGAAGCATCATTATATAAGGGGAACGCTTGTAAAGAAAAATTTGGAAAAGTTTATAACGTAGTCGAGTATGAGGCAAAGCGATCCAAGTGTAATAATAAATAAAGCTATTCTGAAAAACCCACAAGCGAAAAGAGGATAAATTTGGACAAAAAAACCCGAAATGAAAAGAAGAAGTGGGCGAAATGTCGAAACAAAAGGCTCATAGTGACGCTTTAATGACTTTGCGACAAGCTGGCTTGTCTCTCCTTAAGGGCATTAGATGAATGAAGTAGTAATTAACTCCATAGCAATTCTACCGTGAATAAATAAACAATAGAAAAGTTTTTTTGTAAGTTTTTTCTAATAGAGAATAACAACTCCCACATTACGATTGACTAAAGATAATGGTTGAACCTCATCTTTGCCGAAATTGTGAGGGATAAGTTCAGCACAGATCAGATAGAATTGTGAGGAATGAGTAGTTATTAGGTAGTCATAGGTGTGTATTATAGGTATGACTCGACCTGAGGAGTTCAGCCCAGATCAGACAGGCGAACACCCGCACTTCTGGACTCAGCCTCAGGAAAGCACTACTGCTCCAGAACACATCATAAACTGCCTTCAGAACGTTGTCTATACGTGAAAACTACACTATACTACACTATTTTTCTTCTAATCGCCGTGGTAAATTGAACATAAACACTTATCAACTTAGCGCTTATATCATCTTAGTATGAAATACGGTCTATAATTGGAGTTCCAGATAATTGTCGCCAAATCATGAAAAGTATCATTTAAAGACAGAAAACTGCGCTTTTATATCCCTCAAAAAGATTTCATAAGTAAGTTCTATACCTGGAAATTATTCACAGATCACCAGAAAAAATGTAAATTATATAACAAAACGTCAAAGGTCCTGAAATTCCAGACGAATGCTAGAACTTCTACAGGGAAATCCTTGAAGCCTTGAAAGCTTTGCGTTTCTTAAGTAACCTCTACAGACAGCAATGACGATAGCGCTAATTTTAGTGGTTTTAAAGTTGCTGAGACAAAAAATGCTTGCAAAACCTATCACAGAAGAAAAAAACTTTTTTACACCTCATGTTTTCAGGGCTACACATGCAAGTATGCCAATGCGAATGCTAATCGCATTGAAGCTCATTCATGTGTTGGTCCATAGAAAACACTATTGTTCATAAGCCAACCAAAGCGCAAAATAGCTGCTAAGGCACGAGCAATCGATAAATAAGCAGCTGATGCACTACAGAAAAAATACGGTAGCAGAATGCTTCCCAGGATCGACTTTCTATTAACCTCGGCATTGGAATATGAATGTGTCGTTTTCTTGTTCAGCAATCACGAGGTTTTTAAACAGCACACATTTACTTCCATAGAAAAACACAATACAATAATAATCAGCTGTTCTAAACTTCCTCATTGGAAGTCACGAAAAAAGCGGCTCTGAAGAAGGCGATACTGCCGAAACGTCAGCTAGTGTTGTATTGTATTGTGTCTTTCTATGGAAGTAAAAGTAATGCATTAATACATTTCGTCAAATGGAACACGCTGACCGTAAGCACACAAA